CGTGGTCATGAGGCCCAAAACTGTGAGGTGAACGTTTGCGAGCGCGTCAATCCTTCCTTCAAAAATCTTTCGTCATCGTTCACAATAACGAGCAGCGCGACGGCAATTTTCACATCCAAATGTGCCGCGCCGGTTCTTGTGAGAATCGAGTAGGAGTTTGTTCAGAAATTACTGCACTGTAATTAGTCCCAAATTGCTGTATTTTGGGGGTGACATCAAACGTCAAAACATGCCCAGACCACCTAACCACGGTAAAAATAAGGGCGCCATTGACATGACAAGACCCACTGGCAGAGTGATGGCCGTTGGCCAAATCACATCCATACATACATACATGCAATTTTACCAAAGCTACGTGTTCTTTTGGTTTTCCAAAGGGCGTCTTCACACTCCCAAAAGAGAAAATGCTGCATCCCGAACATCTGGCCTGGCGACAGAAACCTAAATGAGACCGTCAGCTTTATTTTTGCCAGCTTAGAAAATGTAGCTGTCATACACAGTTGCCACGCAGAAACTGCAGTTCCAACGTCTTGACCAAACCTCACGATGACATTTTGGCGGCACGAGTCCTTCGGTCCGTGCAGCGGACGATGGCTCTCGCACTTGCTGAAGCAAACCACCAGAATTCCTCGTCGTGAATGCGCCCTCATTGTCGAGCCCTCACGGAAGGATCCCAGCCCCCTTCCTGGAGGACCGGGCCGCCGTGCAATGTCAGCGCACCCCTGCGAAGACGACTCTCCTCGGTTCTCCATACCGAATCCCCGTGGCGACACCGCCGCCGAGCCTCCTATTTGAGCTCATTTCCGCGGGTAGGCCATTCCGCAGCCCGAATGGAGAGTGCCCGAGAACCCGTCGGCTCCTTTTTGCTTCTCGGAGTCACCCCAAAAAGCCACCGTTGGAACTCTGGCGCAACGCGTTTCAGGCCTCACTGTTATGTCCGAGGCCGTCTGCACGACAACCGTCTCCGGGCGCCCCGAAGACGACGAAGCAAAGCGGGCCTCGAACGGAGCCCTTGGGCACGCCGCCGAGGATTTGAACGAACTGCGAGGCATAGAAGTGAGTCGGGAGCAAGTCTTGAGCAGTCGTAAATCCACTTCAAGAGAGTCGGTGACTTTTCGGCGGAACCGAATGAGACTGACTCTAACGTAGCCACGGTCGAGGATCCCGCCGAACCGGTCTTCGGGCTCCCGCCGGGATGCCCTCCCGAGTTAACGACAGCAAATCAGCGTTTGGAACCTCCCGTCCGGACGTCGGTCATCGATCGGCGGAGCAAAGAGGGAACGAGAGCCGGGTCGGCTGAGGCCATTACCCCGGATCAAAGTAGGCGGCGGCGAGAACGGTTCCGCCACGGTTAATAACACTGTCGCCCGAGAACCTTGGCCGGGGCCGGCTCGTCCCGACCTCACACGCTCACACACATCACTGTATAAACACACACACTTGCACACACTCCTCATTCCACCGCTGCAGTGACACATCGCAAGCTTCCCTGCTTGCTTCCCACAAACCAAACACTTCACTCTAATTCTAACACTTCTGATTTATTTCATGTGTAAAGGAAAACTGGCTTTGCGAGCCGCACTCCCACTGGAAAACACACACGCACACGCACACGGGCACACACGCGCACGCCACACACACACACACACACACACACACAATGAGCACACGTTGAGAACCGTTTGAAAATAAATGATCTCCTTCAACTTATGAATTGATTTTCTAGACTTAAAAAAATAAACCAAAAAACTGATGTTTTTTTTCGAGTTAGTCAGATTTTTTTTTATAGTCATATTTTCTCGCTTCAAAAAATAGAAAAATATTTTTTGAATTGAATCCTATTTATCTGGTAAAAGACAAATGTTTTTGTCTTGAAATTCCAATTTGTTTTTTTCCGAAATCAAAAGGGTTCTTTTTTTCCCCAACATAAATCCTGTTTTTCGTGTTGCTAGCTAGCCAGATAAACGGAGGGAAAGGCAGACGGACGGATAGATAGCGGCGTCGGCGTCAAGGGTTGGTATGAGAAGAAGAGGAAGGTGATAGTACACGTGGTTCGTTTTGCACGCGCTGGCCCCGTTCTCTTTGATGGTCTTTTCTTCAAGTCGGGACAAAAGCGGTGCGCCGCGCGCATCCACAGTGCCGTCCGTCTTCATGGCTTTGCTTTTGCCTGCCCTGAAAAGACGTTGATTGGTCCATTGACCTGGCGAGGCAGACGGAGCGGGCCGCCATGACACCCGCGCCTGTTTTGCGTGGAGATGCGTCACGTGCGTGCCCGCCTCGGGGACAAACGTTCGGGACGGATCGCCGGCCACCCGCGGGTGAAATCCGAGCGCGCAGGCGACCGCGTGCCGAGCCCGCCGCCGTCGGCCCCCCCCCCTTCATCGACCTTCGCTGCCCTAATCCATTGTTTACACAAAACGCCAGCCGGTAATGATAACCAGGAGACCACCTCACATCCCCAAAAGCCCCCTCCCCCCCATTGCCTTCCCAAAGCTGTTTTCACAGGAGCCAAATACCTTAAATACATAATTAGCGGGGTCATTTGTGTGATGTGGGGGGCGGGGGGAGCACCCCATCGAGAGCATGAGAGTCAGTTGGAGCAGAGTTGAGATGGGGGGGGGGGCAGGATGTGAAGACGTGAAAGTGGACAAAGAGACGCATTCATGAGCGCCGGCCGGGATAAACTTGGCTGTCGCCGTCTTCAAAGGCCACCTCTGCCTTTCCTCAAAAGCCAGAGGCCACAGAGGGGGAGAGGAGGGGGGGGGGCGCGGTCACGAACTGAGGAGGAGTACTAACGAGAAAGAACGTGACTATCGTGAAAAAACATCTTTTTTCTCTCTCTCTCTTTTTTGGTTGGGGTGTAAAGAGTTAAAGCAGTTAGATTTTTCCGAAATATTTGTCATAAGTCAACATAAAAAGCTGTACTGAGTGTTTGTATGTAAAATGTCGATTTAAAAAAAGTCAAAGGAGCCCTCATTTGCCCAAGGATATCCTCCCCCACCCCCCCCTCTCCACACACCCGACTCATTATCCACATCCTGAGTCCACTTGGCTTTCTCCGCCTGCTCCCATTACAGGCTCTCAATGCTTGCATCACTGGAGCCGCGTTACACGCAAGCTCACATCCACAGTTGGGGGGAGGAAAGTACGATTATCATACAAGTCAGATTGAAAATTTATGTTGTTTTTTTGGGAGGGGGGTAATAGTCCTTTTTAGCTCCACCATAAACGATTCTGGTGAAAATTTTTCTCTCTCTCTCTTTTTTGGTTGGGGTGTAAAGAGTTAAAGCAGTTAGATTTTTCCGAAATATTTGTCATAAGTCAACATAAAAAGCTGTACTGAGTGTTTGTATGTAAAATGTCGATTTAAAAAAAGTCAAAGGAGCCCTCATTTGCCCAAGGATATCCTCCCCCACCGAGCCCTGACCCCGCCGTGGATTCGGACCGGCGGCCCAATCATGTCGTTCGTAGTCAAGGCGGCCCCCAAATGCCCGCGCCGCGCGTTTCCCACCGGGAGGGCGCCTTTGAATTCGGAGCGCGCCTTTCGCACAGCCTCTTTCCACCCGGTGCGCCTCTCGCTCCCCTTCTGGCGTTGTTTATGAAGTTTTTTTGGGAGGGGGGTAATAGTCCTTTTTAGCTCCACCATAAACGATTCTGGTGAAAAATGACATTGTTTTTTTCTTTTTTTTTTTCTTTCAAACGGCGCAGAGGTACGGGGGTTCGATTCCGGCTCGGGCCTTCCCGTGCGGGGTTTGCGTGTTCTCCCCGTGCCTGCGTGACCTTTAAAGAGCGGCACGGTGGTCGCGCGGTGAGCGGCGCCGTGGTCCAGGGCAACTTTGAAATCCTTTGGGGGTGTTTTTTTTTTTCCTCCAGGAGGATGTGAACTCTTAAGTGGAGAAACGGACTCCCAGTACACGGGGACCGCACCTCCGACCTTGTTTCCATGGACCGAAGTCAAGAAGAAGAAGAAGCACTTCTTCTCTTCCCCATGGTCCACGCTGAGTACTTTTGCCACCTCTGTCATTTTGTCCCTGGCTCCATGTCAGTCGCAATTTTGAGTTCAGGAGAACGGGGACTTCTCCTCTGACCAATGCGACAGTATTTGTCCATCGACTCAAGTACGGAGAGGGGCGACTTTTGTCGTGAAGAGCAGTTGGGACCCCGTTGGGGTTTTTTTCTTTTTCTTTCACTCGTCTCATCTGTACTGCTGCTTGCGTGCAGGATGCGACTACTCTTTCCACCTCTACTTTTCGACAAAATAGCAGTTCACTGTGTCCTTTGACGTGATCGCGACTTTCACTTTGACCATCGTCTTATCAGTACTTGTACTTTGGCCACCTGTCTTGATTGAATCGAGACCCGGGAACGCATCATGAGCAGAAATACATTTATTGTTGAACATAAATAGATAAATTACAGTGACTGCCGTCTTTGTTTGAAAAAAAAAGGAAGGTTTGTCTTGTTTCCTCTTTGTTAAAAAAAAAAAAAAAAAAAAAAAAAAGAAAACAATGACAAATTCATATTTTGTTGTTGTTTTTGTAGGAATTCCCCCCCGGCCCCTAAAAAAAACAAGACAAAGCACAAACAGTGGCGAGACACGCAGCGGCATCGAAACGCAGCATCCTTGACGATGGTTGCGCTTTTTGGACAGCGACCGCCGTTCACTCGCCCGTTCACTCGCTCCATTTGACGGCACTTGTAGAAAATAGCCGCGTCGTCGAGAAGCCTTTGTGATGTGACCTGCGACGCCGGGCCCCCAAACAAGGAGCTCATTCATGCTCTGCTTGTTCATTCACTCCATAAGGTGGACTTTGCTCTGTGTGTGTGTGTGTGTGTGTGTGTGTGTGTGTGTGTGTGTGTGTGTGTGTGTGTGTGTTCCAGCAGACTGGGTGGCCATCGTCCTTATCAGCATGACAGTGATACGGCTGAAAAACAACTCGCGTCTACATATTTCGCACACATTCGGGACCATTTCTGACGTGTTGTTTTCTGGGTTTTTTTTGTTGCTTTTTTTTCTTCTCCCCCCGCATGGATTAAATACAGACATTCAACGAGCAATGAAAACTAGGGTAATATGTCTCATCACAAAAATAAAAGCATCTTGCCGCCACCGGCGTTCCGGCGTCGCCGTGCCGCCGTTCTCCAAAGCAATACACAAGACTCGATACGCTGTCAAGAAGAAGAAGAGGGCGACGATAGCGCAGATCGGACGCGTGCGTCCTCGACCGTCAGTCGTTCGGAAGGAGCGTCCGGGGGCGGCGACGCGGACGACCGCCTCGGCGACCTTTGGCCCGCGTGCCTTTAAAAGGAGGGCGGGGCACTCCGGCGGCCCCGCGTCGGCACGGCGCTCTCACGGTCCGGAAAGAGAGAAGCCCCTTTGGTCGTCCTCCCTTCTTGTGTCCTTTTGAGCAGGCTCCTCGTCATTGCCGGCGAGTCTTTGATGGGATTGGTTTGGAAAAGGAACGAAAAAAAGAAGCACCTTTGGCATCGTGGTTTCTTAGGTTCATCGAGGGGGAAAGTTCAGTGTGGAGCAACGATGAGCCCGCGCTGACGTCCTCACCTCACGTCCACTGGCGGGGGGGAAGAAAAGAGCTCAAGGTTAGAACGCCCACGGCCAAAATTCCAAAGGGGACCAAAGGAAGGCACAACAACCGCTGTTGGGGTTGGGTCACACTCATTGGCGCATGTGCGTCCACCGACAGACCGGAAATTTGCTTCCAAAAGTTGCAAAAACTCACGCTGGCCTCCAACAAATATTGACTTTGGCTTCGGCCACATTTCCACAAAAGCGTTTTGAGTCATTTGCTTTGTTTTGTTTTTTCCCCGTTCATCCAATTGAAGAAATCTGCGTTGCTCCCCCAAATACTGAGAAGGTCACCAAGTCCGGTCCTGGAGAGCGCCAATCCCGCCCGCCCTCCAACACGGCCCATTCAAATGATCAGCCGGCTCTGCAGAAGCCTGCTCATTTGGATTCGGATTATTCTTAACGCCAAGTCGAACGACGACGCATTATTGTTTTGAGTCTTTTCTTTTTTTCCCCACTCGAGACCCGCTTTCTCATCCAACGGTGTTCCCGAGGGCCTAAAAATGCAACACGGTGTTCTTCGGTTTCATCCCAGAATTGTTTTTCTTGATTTTTGGCCTTTGATAAGATTTGCGTTTGCTCGTGTCCGTCGCGGTGACGTGATGCGTGCGTCTCCTTCCAAACGGTGATCCGGAGGGGGAAAAAAAGCAAGCCACAACGCCGGTGCGCCCAATCGCATGCGGGCAACCTGAGAGTGACGCGGTGCCTTCGAATCGGTGCGCGCGTGCATGCGGCGGCATCATCGCCACGGAGGAGCTCGGCGCCCTCCCCCAACGCTCGCGATCGGTGGCTTGACGGTGACTGGTGGCCCGTTGGCGAGGCGAGAGGGCGGCCACCTTTTCCCCTCGCAGCTTTCCATTGAGAGGGAGAGTTGGGTGGGGGGGGGGGCGACGGGCGGGACTTTGCGTGTTATGTCGCCAAGTCCTCGTGGGCCCCGAGCTTCTTCGATTGCCTTTTTTTACCCTTTGCCCGACGGTGGCCCGAAAGCACAAAGTCGGGGAGGGGTTTGCGTGAGCACGGGGCGGGGAGGTTCAAAAGCAAAAGACGCAAGATGCGGAAAGAGCCCCGGGACAGAAGCGATGACGCACATACAGACTCGAAATGCCTTATCGTGGCACTGATCTGCTCCGCGGGAGAGAAAGGCTTCAGATCAAGGCACCGGTTTCCAAGGGGGGAGGAGAGGCAAGGGGAAGACAAGGGGAGGGCAGCGTATGCATGTGTGTGTGTGAGGGGGGGGGGGGCAGATTGTATACCTGGTGTCATGACAAGCAGCCTTTGGACATCCTGCCTCAACAGCAACACACAAATGCTCGCTCTTAAAAGACGTGTACAGCACGGGAGGCAAAGTCGTTTTCGTAGGGGGCCACTTGGGAGTTCCACGTCCCCTCAGATGTTGACGAGCATGAGCTCGTGTTGTTATGTAGCGCCGATGCGTAACCGGGTTGGAAATCAGACGTGAAAGAACACAACTGCGTTTCAATTGGGGCCGGATTTTGGTCCAAGAAAGGTGAAGTGGACGCACGCCGTTTGCATTGAACTGTGTGGCAGGCCAAATCTGGCTCGGGGCTTTGGGTTTGACACGTTGCAATGTGGCAGGAGGCGTGTCAACCTGCTCGACAAAAGGTCAACGGGTGCAAGGCAGGCGGAGGCGGGGTGGCAGGGGGAAAGAAAAGGAAAGGAAGCAAACGCCAAGAAGGCAGGAAAGGACGATTACAACGTGTAGGGCGGGACTTTGTGTGTGCGTGTGGTTTTTGTTTTTTTTGTTCTCTACCTGGAAGGCAACAAACACGTCAGGATGCTTTCACACCGAGCGTCCTCAGTTCATGGCGTTTTGTTCCATTTTATGGAGGCCACCTTGCCCAAAGGCGTCCAAAAAGCCCGACAAAAAGAGAAAAGGCCGAGAAACGGGCGATAGGCTTTACCTGTTTCCGCGTCGGAGTGCTCCACGACGTGATGCTGTGACGTGCACGCGCACTCCAGGTGGTCTTCTAATCGTACGAAGACCTCTTTGAGCTTGGGCCGCCTTTTGACGTACTCCACCTTGCCCACCTGTCGCGACGAGGAGAAGAGAAAGCTCGGTCAGCGACGAACGCGGGGCCCGACGCGGCTGCGTTCTTGCGAGCGCCGCGCTTTGGCTCAGCCGCTCCCTGAACCGTGAACGGAGCGGGGGACCGTGTCCCAACGAGCCCTAACAAGTGGAGAATGGAAGGAACGGCGCGCCGGCGACGGTGCGGCCCGAGCGGCAGACTTTGTTCCGCCGGGGCCGTCGGAGAAATCCCCCGCGACTCCCGCCGCCTCCGCCGCTGCAGACTTCAACTTGAGGCTCGGAGCAGACGCGCACCCAAACTCCCCCCTCCGTGTCCCAACACGTCCACCGCCGATATGGGAGCGTGAGGACACCCGGCCAAAAAGACTTTATACCAGACTCTGGAGTGCGCCCACCCCTCACAGACGAGCCCCGCGGTCACTGTGGGCCCGTCGCCGGCGTTCCGCTTCACCTGAAAGGTGTTGACGGGGGCGAAGGTCTGGGACCGGGAGGGTCTGCCCCCGCACGGTAGAACGACAACGAGAGAGCGGTCGCTCCTTTTAAAGAGGAGGAGGAAGAAGCACTTGAAATGGAGCAAAGAGCAACAAGAAGCGCAGGAATTCCGAGCCTGCGGCCTGGAAGCGTCGCCATTGAAGCTGTGCAGACAGGGCGGCCCGGGGGCTTAGGGGCTCGTGCAAGAGGGGAGGTGGCGCCGTGCTTTTCGGGCTCTCTGATCCAAGCGCTACGGGCAGGTAACTTCCACGTTCGTCGGCGAGGGCCCGGCGGGCGCATGGAAACAATCTCCCGACCCGACCCGGAACCTCCTCCCACTTCACCTCATCTCGAGTTCAGCGCACGGGAGAGGATATGAAGCGACAATCCTGCGGGCCGCCGCTCTCTGCCGATAACGTCGACGGCAGACGGGAGAGGCTCCCTTCCTCCGTCCCGCGCTGGCCCGCTGCCCGGCGGCGAATTAGTCACGCAGGCAGGCCAGTCAACATACCGAGTCTGTCTGGTAAAACAAAAGCATGTTGACACTCACGCAGCCCGACGTCTCTCATGCCAATGCTCTGAAGTCAAAGCTCGCGGGGGCAGCCCGAGTCAGGCGAGACTAGAAGTCGGCGCTTTCGCCTTTGTAAAAGCGTCTCGCTACTTTGTACACGGGGAAAGCACCAAGAAGATCGCGGCAGAACGGGAGGCGCGCGCTCGACGAGCCGGAGGACAACGCCATCCGGCTCTGAGACGCCGCGTCTGCCGTCATCGGGCCTTGACGCGGCGAGGGCGACGCCAAGGCGAATCCCTCCGCCGTGCGCTTGCAGGCACGGGCGGCTTAGTTGAGGGAGAGGGCGAAGGGGGCCGACTGTGATCGTCCACGTGTTACCTATTAACGTCAAGATTGTAGTTGACCCGCACAAGAAAGGCAAACACCCGTCAAGAGACTGTATCCAGGGATTTTTCTTGCGAACCGAATATGAGGACAGTATACCGGCTTGCCGTGAATTTGACCTCGAAAAACATCGCTCGTGCTCAATCGGCCTCGGGCGGCGAGCGAGCCCATCGGATGAGGGAGGACAACGAGGAGCACGCGAGCATCCGCTCTCCATGTTGTTTCCTCCCTCTGCGTGCCATTTTGGAGGCATGATGGCTTTTGGAGCGATGGGACACGGTCTCAGACCTTTTCTTTTTCTTTCGGTCTGCTCTCGCACGCACACGCACGCATGCATGAGAGCCAGCAAGGTGAAAAACAGTGTGCAAGAGTCGCCCTTCGTATTAGTCTGAGCGTGTGCTTAAACAACCTCCTGCACTGCCTACTTTGTCAACACTCTCTCCCATATCTCTCATCTCGCACGCATGCGTGTGTGTAGGGGTGGGGGGGGGTGCGGGCGTGTGCACGCGCACTTTATGGAAAGGTGTTAACAGGGAAGTCCCTCCCGCCTCTTTGCTGGCAAGATTTATTTTGCGTACAAAGGCTTCTCATCCGGCGCAGAGTCAATGACTTCCCACATAAAACACACATCAGAAAAGAGACCCGAGTGCTACGACGAGCCCCCCCCCCCACCCCCCACCGACACTCTTTGTATAAATCAAACTGCTCCCGAGAAAGCCGGGGCCCTGAGAAAGAGTCCCTTGAGCGGCTTGGGGGGAATGATATCCGATCTGCGAGGTTGGGGTGAGGCAGGGGGGCTCTGGGAAGCGCACCCCTTCACCCCCCGCCCCCTCCCCTTCAGACAAGAGCCTCTGTGTGAAGCCGACCGTCTTGCTCGCCTTTAATTGGGAATTCCCTGAGCGCCGATGAGAGCATGACGGAGGGGAAAGTTTTACTCATGCCTTCCAAGGAAAACACAACGGGGATGTGGATGGACACCGAGGGGCGGCAAACATTTGGAAGCGGGACAAAAATGGAGCAAAAATAAATGGGGAAAAATTGGTTGAGAGAAGGCAGGGACTGAAAGTGAGCGAGCGAGCGAGGAGGAAACCGTCCCGCTTGCGCCCCGCAAAAAGAAAGGACCCCGAGGAAGTCCGCCGGCGAGAAAGAAGAGGTGATCTTCCCACGCAGGCGGAGGAAAAGCGCCAAGAGGCGAGACAAGGACCTGCTCCTGCCGCCGCCCTCTCCCTCAACCCGTCACAACGTGCTTTCGGGCCGACGGGCGGCGCGCGCCCGACAAGAAAGGGGAGCATTTATCACGTCTGGAGGTAATCCGCGATGCCCGCAAAGACCCGGCGCGGCTCCGTTCCCGAAATCTTAACGGATGGCCAGATGTGGATATCCGAGGGCGGCAGAAGGCGCCGGATCAAATTTCAAAGAATCCCCCCGGATGGCGTCTTTATGATCCTGCGCAGAACAATGGAGGAGGTCACGGAGGTCAACCGAGCAGACGGCTGGAAAGGGCGAGGAAGAGCGAGCGAGGGAGTCCACCGCGACTTGGCATGACAGACGATCAGACTCCAGCAGCGGACGAGGGAGTGGAGGATGAAGTCACGGCGGAGAAAAGGAAAGGAAAGGAAAGGAAAGGAAAGGGAAAAAAAAAATCAAGCATATTCAAAGACTACGTGATGCGATGAAGCCGGCGCGGCGCTAGTCCGGCGACCCCGCGGCCTGGACGGGATCCTCCCATGACCCGCTGGGCTTCGCCAAAATGTCTTCAAATGCTTCTTCTTCTTTATTGAGAGCCCGCAAAGGGGCTCCAAACGGTTTCTTTTTTGCTGTCCAGCTGTCAGTGCACCGCCGGTTGTTACAAGTGCGCATTTCATTCCAATCTGGTGTTCTATGTGCGCTCGGCGCTAATGTTTGCCGCCGCTGTTCACGTTCACATCAACGCGTACGCCGTACGGATGCTCTCGTCGACCGTTGAGATGTCATTTCTGTCTGGCCTTTTTAGCGATTGCGCGCGTCCCTGGTTTTGCTCGAAGCGTGACTATTCTTGCTGCCGCACACGTTTTCCATTTCTGCTCTCTCTACGGCACGGGCGTCCAACTCAAGGCCCGGGGGCCAGATCCGGCTCGCCGTCATTTTATGTGGCCCGCGAAAGCGAATCATGTGCGTCCACTTGTATGATCCCCGCAAATGTCCCACGTTGAGATTTTGCCGTCCTATTGTCACCCTCTTTGCACTCACTTGAACAATAATCGAACAAACCAATAGTTGACTCATTTGATTGCGTACAAGGAATCGGTTTCACTGTCGTAGCGGCCCTCGGAGGGAAGACGTCACACACACTTCTTCTATTCTGTGCTACAACAGACAGAGTGAGGGTCCGCTATCTGACCTGCTGTCACCAAGGTAACAGTCAGAGGCTGGGAAGGGGGCGGGAGCGGGTGCGGGCGGGGGTCGGGTGGCCCGGACCCCCGCCCTCAGCGGCGCGGCTGCATCCGCCTGGCCTCTGTCAGGCCTCCGCTTTGATCGTGCGGCCATCAACACTTCATTACTCTGCGGCCCCGTCTCTCTCCCTCGCACACAAATGGCCTTGTCGCCACGCTGCGGTGGGGGAGTTTATGGAGCGTAACATAGAGCGCACTCTGTCTCCTCCCCCCATCCCCAACACACACACACACACACAGACGAAAACAATCTCCCTCTTAGGTTTACACAGATGTGAGCCGATGACCCCGGAGGACCTCTGCCAAATACTCGTACACGGGGCCATCAAAAGTGACTTGTTGCCAAAATACGGCAGCGCGATGAGATGAAGCTACCTTATACGGCGTCAGCTTGAAACCAGTTGACATAAGTCGGCGTGCTCCCATCGCTCATTTGGAGGAAACCGCATGGAAAGTTCTCGTGAGTAAATTGAGATACTTTTCACATCAAAACGTGCAAAGAAAAAAATGGACCGCCGGCTGCCGGAATCGCATGGCTGCTTGAGCTTTACGACGTCGATCATTTCTTTCGATTTCCTGCACGAAATTCAACCGTGTTTGGGTGCGAGCAGGAGCCGTCACAATATGAGAGCTGAAATGATTGCTCTCGTGGAGTTAGGTCAGCAAAAACTTGCTTTTAGACAATTCAACGCTAAGTGCAGAGCGATGAACCAAATCTCGCTACGGTGTGAATGGAGCCCGCTAGCTAGCAAACAGGCAAACGCATCCACCTAATGCTTTGACCTTGGTGTGGAGCTCTGCCGGACCTCTGACCCGCCTTCCGAATAAGGACGCCTCGCCCAATTCGTGAACGAGCGAGACCAAAGGCGAATGAGTTGGAGCCGCGTCGTGGCCTGTTTACTGGCGCGAGAACAAACAGAGAGAGGCAGCGCTATTCATACGTGCGAACACACGTACGCGCACAATGTGGGGAAGAATGCGAGAGCGCGCTCACGCCTGGACCGACTTCCTGTCCGAACAGTCTTAGCAATACTGGACACGGAGGGAGAAGAGCCAAAATAGGCAGACCCTTCTTCTTTTCTCGCCCACGTCCCGACTCAAGTTGCCTTGAGCTGCTGCCTCTGAAGCCGCTCGTTTACAAAAGCTTCGAGCAGGTCCGGGATGCACCCGCGCCTCACCCCCAAATCAGCTGGCCCAAGGCTTCGAGCTCGCCAGCAACCCAAATGACGACGACGGCTGTAGAAAATGGATGGATGGAAGGATTTTTGTTTTTTTAGTGACTGTTAAGTTTTCAACTAAATATGATGCCGTCGTAATTTTGTCCAAAAATCCAGACCACAAGTGGCCTCAAAATCAGATTTGATTTTTTTTCGATGAAAATGTCTTTTGTCGAAAAGGACAAAGCTTGATTAGTCACCGCCCCGAATAAAACTGTCAGTTTTCCATTTCATTTAGACCGCGGTACTTTTACGCATCAAATCCGACGGACATTTTGAACCGTGAGGGACAAAATAATTTGAGGTTGGGGGCATTGATAGCATTTGGAAAAAAAAGGATCAATCACACCAGTATTTTGTTCCCGACAAAAATGTTGGCGAGCTCGCTAGGAAGTCCGTCAGTCCCAAACATAGCTAGCTGGCGTCTCGCCCAAAGGTCAGCTGGGATAGGCTCCGGCTCACTCAGGGGATGGCTTGTCTTTTAACTGCGTCGGTTTGAAAACGTTTGCTTCTTCAAAGTCCAAAACAATGAAATATTTGGCCCCCGCTCCGGCAGCCAAGCTGCAACCGTGTCAGACAGGGGGCAAAGTGGCACGGATCGCGACATTCCATCCGGACGGAGGCTCGCTCACCAGCGTCTCTCCCCAAGCAGTCGCCGTCTCGTTTGAGGCCAGACAGAGCTCCGATTGACGCTGCGGACCGGCTCGCATGAGAAATAAGACGTGTTTGTGTGCAGACTGGCTCTTCCGCTTCCACATGAGTCAGCATTTCTAAACGTTTCAAGACCGGAGCGTCTGACCGGATCCCAGTTAAATCCGGTGGCGGGAGGGGAGGCCAAATCAGGCCAAAACAGCATCTGAAGCGCGGGACTCGACGTTTACGGCTTTGAATTTGAAATTTGTCACCTTTGCTCGATGAAATGTTATCAACGTATTCCAACAGACGTCATCGGCAAGCGTTTCTCTTGCTCCACATGGTGGATGTGCATGCTCGTGGACGTGCCCAATCAGATTTGAGCCTCTCGACGTTGCCACGTCAATCTCATCTGCTCAGGGGCTTTGGAATCAGGGCCGCCGACGATTGTAACTCAACGTCTGAGCAATGGAAGTAGAATTTTATGGCCGTAACGTCGCAAAGCAACCAAATTCATTTTACAGGTTCAACCTGTCCAAGAAACGTGCGGTGGGACACCCGACATGGGAAGCTGACAGGTCACCAGACGCCGCCCCTATTTCTTTGAGAAGAAACGCACTGAAAAAAATGACAAACTCTAATTGAGTCGATTCAATGCACCATTGTTTGTCAGTGTGGAAAAAAAACCACGAGATAAGACATGGGAAGAAATGAAGAGCAACTCCCAAAGTATGCTCTCATGGCAGGGGTCCAGTGTGGGATCTGGGAACCCAAAAAAATCCACCTCGGCACATCGCGTCATAAGACAAACAAACAAACAAGAGATTTTGGAGACGTGGTAGGGATGCGCAAGGTCGGGGAAAAGGCGCGACGAGATGCCGCAAGAGGAAAACTCTGAGGCCCGGTTACCAAATGGACCGCCGGCCACTGTCCAAATCCAAAGGCGGACTCTGGCGAGCAAACGGCCATCAATTCACACGGCGAAGCGTGGACAGAGCGTCGTCCCGATGATTAAAGAGCAGAGACAATAGAGTCCAGACTCAAACACACAAGACAAAGAAGCGTTCCAAGTCTGCGCCGGGCTCATAGCTGCCGTGCCTTTCAGCGCAGCGACGTCTAAATACAGCAGACGTTTGACTCATCTCAAGCCACCGCGTCCACGCTCCTGACGCTGAACAGAAAAGGGAGACGTGTTTGAAGCGAGCACAGAGGCTTCTGGGAACCGCATGCCCCCCCCCACCCCACCCCAAAAAAACAACAAAAAGTCCTTTCAGTCCCTCGCTCTTTGTCACGGGGCATCCTCCGGGCTTCCGGACAAGACAAAGAGACAAACAGACAGACTAGCCGGACTGCAGACAGCCATGAGAAATTCATTTACGGATATTTTGATCGTCAACAAGAAGATCTGATGCGCGTATGAACAAGGTCGGGTTGGCTTGCGTTGAAGCTGCAAGGGCCTGCCGGGGTCACGGAGTTCATTCAAAGCGGCGGGAGGAACAATGAATGCAAGCTTGCTGCCAAGATGGAGGGAGTCACCCTCAAGATCAGAAATCCAAATCGGGCTTCCCTTCATCTTTGAGGGCGAGCGGCTCGACTCTGAGCTTCTCATCTTCTCTCGAAGGGAGAGCCCGCCGGTCACCCGGCGGAGGAAACTTATTTCGGTCGCTTGTATCCGGGTAAAGTTAGCCTGGTGCCCGCGCTCGTGCGTATCGACGCGTGTTTCAGCGTTTCGAGATTCCGAGGTTTAGCTTGGAGCCTCGGTTTCCACAATTCGCGGTTGAGTCTCCAAACGTTATGAAAGACTTCCGTCTAGCGACTCATTTTACCAGAAAAGGCAAAAGCAGAACATCCATTCCGAGGTTTAGCTTGGAGCCTCGGTTTCCACAATCGTGGTTCAGTCTCCAGACGTCATGAAAGACTTCCGTCTAGCGACTCCAGAATGTCACGTGTCATTTTACCGGAAAAGGCAATAGCAGAACATCCGGAAGAGGCGCGCCAGGGTTGCAGGAAATTTAGCAACAACAACAACAATTGTTTCTTGGGGTTTTCTTTCAAAGAACAGTGGAACCCCTTTTCAAGTGGCCCCGTCCCGTTTCCAACGTGTCCACCCCCATCACGTTCACGTTTCAAAGGCCCAACGTCACCTCGTTCATTTTCCGTTTGCCGATTTTGCTTCCAAAGAACACCTTGATCACGTCGTGACGACCGCCCGACCATAACGAACGGCGGGAAGCTAAGCGCCGTTTTGGCCCGGTTTGTCACGTGCGGCCTACCTTGACGGTGCGGTGGCTCTTGCGCGAGGGTTGGCAGCGCATGTTGCTGGTGTTGCAGCAGCCCGTGCAGCGCTTCACCTCCACGCAGGGCGGCCATATCAGGAAGTTGGCCGACGTGGGGTCCACCTGGCTCCTGGGGATCTCGTAGATCACCGTACGCGTCTTGCACGCCGCCGGGACCGCCTCCTCCACTGCGGGGGGGAGAAGGAACGGAGGGAGGAGGGCAATGAATGGCCAATTTCCCACCAGGCTGCCGCCATGTGCCCTTTGGGCTCATTCGACGACCCGATGACTCGGTTTGTCTCGCCTCGGACCGCAGCCAACCCGCTTTGACAACCGGGACACTTGCCCCAAAGTCTTGGCTCACACCTACTGAGCAATTCTTTGGATGCGAGGTCCATCAAAAGCAGCCTTGGACGACTTTGGGGGTTGGAAGAATAGGAAACGCAAACACCCCCGACTCTATCTTGTCACGTCACGGTCAGTAAGCGACCCGTCACTTTGCTCCATATCATGCCAAAGGAGTTTGGGGGAAAGGATCGAGGATTGAACAGAAAGCCGACGGCCAAATGGCGGTTCCCGTGTGAACAACCCGACATCAAAAATTCAAATCTCGCCATCTCTGCCTATGTGAGCCACGATGAGGTCAAGTCAAATATCATCCGTTGAAATTCGGTTGAGCCGTGACTGTAAAATCAGAACACCTCCACGTCCATCAAGAGCTCGATACTAAAAGGAAATAAAATGATACGAAATTAAAAGAACAGCTCAAAAACAGGAAATATACAATTCCGTTCAGTCTCTGCTCATGTGCGCACGTTCCGAAATGTAAACGGCGCATCTCTGATCGACCCTGAACTGCAATGAAATGAATCCCAGAAAGTCAAATGGGAGAACAGCTCAAAAACAGGAAATATACAATTCCGTTCCTTCTCTGCTCATGTGCACACGTTCCAAAATGTAAACGGCGCATCTCTGATCGTGTGAACTGCAATGAAATGAATCCCAGGAAGTCAAATGGGATTTTTTTTTTTTGTTTGTTTGTTTCAAACGAAACCGCAGCACCGCTTTTGTCAACTGCTCGACATGATCGAAAATTCCATTTCAGCGGCTCCATCGAAGTCATAGGTGTCAAAGTCAGGTCCTGCAGGGCCGCCCTGCTCGACATGATCGAAAATTCCATTTCAGCGGCTTCATCAAAGTCGTAGGTGTCAAAGTATAGGTCCCGCATGTTTTCCGACTCTCCCTGTTGCGACGCGCCCGGTTCAAATGAACAGGTTCAATGGCAGGCTGCCGCAGAGCTTGCAGGATGAGCTGATCATTTGAATCGGCTCTGTTGCAACACGGAGACTCGCAAAACATGCGGGACGGCGGCCCTCCAGGACCGCATGTTTGACACCTACAATCGAAGTGAACCACTGTGTCGCAAAAACAAATAAAATGTTGTCGAATTCAATGAGAACGTTTGAAAATTTCAAAAAAGATGACATTGAATTGAGTTGCGTAACCAATTTGAGCAGCGATTGTTTAAAATCAAATATTTAATCAATGAAGTAAAACCAAATGTGCTCATCCCTGCAGACTGTCAAACCACAGTAAAATAGGACCAAATAAAAGGCCATGAATCGAAAGTGGAGAGAGCAAAATCAAAGACCGCATTGAATGGAGTCGGCTTGGTGAGTTTTCGTCGATGTTTAGGCCCTCAAATGACGAATCGATACGGAGAAGAATCATGACAAGAAGAGGAAGAAGAATTTCTGCCGAAACGCAACAGGGACCCCTCAGCGGACCCGAATGAGATTCATTTCCTTTGGAGCATCTGGGAAAGGGACTGACCGCTGACCCCCGCCGTGTTATCATTCCACGTCATACGCTCGAATCGCCAGCAAACGGATTCCGTAAAGGAAGCTCGTGCTTCCAGCATACTCGGCGCACCCCATCACGCGCTTGGCATGAAATCGGAGCAAAGGCAAAGCGCGCCGCGGACGGCAGTCTCGCGCGCTCGCTCTCCCTCCACGCCTCGATGAGATGCGGCAGCGAGCGCTCGGCGTTTGATGAAGAAATGCGACGGAAGGTTTCGGCGAGCTGCAACTTGACGCCTTGAATGTCTGGAATTTCCACGCTCCGGGATATGTTCCTCTCCTGACGCGCGTCTCGCCTCTCTCATAAAGACGAGCCGCGCCGCCATCGCAAAGCCAGCCAAAATGAGACGATCAGTGTGAAGGGGAGCTCAAGTACAATAAGACGCTTACGAGACTTGCGCACGCCTAGCATGCGTCTTATTGGTGCTATCATGCAACTTCAGTCCAGCAGGGGGAGAAAAAAAAAAAAACACTGTGAGAAAAAAAAACGGTGTTTTTTTTTTTCTCACAGTGTTTTTTTTTTCTTTTGAAGTGCAAAAATATCCTGTATCCAAATAGTCCATCACTCCATTGAATATTCGGTGGGATGCTTGAATAGGAAAGCGTTTCTTGGCCGCGATCTTCCGTTCAACTCTCCTCTTTTATTGCCCCTTTTGTGGTGCGCCGCAAAATTAAAACGTTGCTGCTCAAAAAGTTGAGGGCGGCAGAAAAAAGGAGAAAATGATTCCATCCATTTCTAAAAAAAAAATAGAAATAATAATAATAATAAATGACATTCACATTGTTTTTAGAAATATTGAATCCAATCGCAAAATAATCCTCGTCATAAAATGAAGAAAGGACAGGAATACAATTGAATTCATGGAGCTCATTCCAAGTAAAAAAGTAGATTGCCAATGGACTTTTTTTTGTGGGGGGGCGGGGGGGGTGTACCGTCGCCGATCGTGAATCACAAGCCGAGCGCACGTTCGAATGGCGACGTGGAGTCAGTCTCACCGAGGCTCCTCTTGCGGCGGCTGTGGAGCTGCGAGCTCTTCAGGTCGCCGTAGAAACCCGGATGGCGGGAGGAATTCTTGTGCGGGTGCTGCTGGTGCGGCCGCTGCTGGTGGCGCGGGTGCTTGTGATGCTTGGGCCCCTCGAAGACATCGTTTCCCGTACCTCGTCAAAAGACAAAGCGGCCGCGTTAATGCTGCCGCCCCGTCCGGCCGGCTCCGCTTCAAAAGCTCCTGGCTCGGAGATTTCGCCCGAGCGCGCCGCGCCGGCGTCCGCTTGAGTCGCTCGACGACGTCGGCGCTTATCGGCGGTGGAAAGTCTGCGGGTGGGTCAGCGCGTCGACACAAAGCGCCCGTTGTCCCGGCTCTCGTTCGGCCGATCGACAAGCGCGCCTTGTACACCTCATCTGATCGAGCTTGTTTTGGTCCCCGCCCGGGATATTTCGGAGCTCGGCGCAATCAAATGAGAAAGCCTGCTCACAGAGAGCGGCGCGCGGATGTTTGCGGAGCGGGCGGGGGTCCACCTGCCTGCGCGTGGACACCTGCGCCCTCCGCGTAAACACGCGTCATCTCGCGTATCGCTCGTTTAAAGCCCGCCGCGTGGGCCAAGCGTGACGCACGACGGGGTGTTGGTGTGCTTCTCCCAGCGCTCGCACAAGCGCCGCTTTCGAAACGCACGAGACATCGTGCGGCGGCTTGTTTTTCCGACGCTTTGGCCGGGCAAAAATTGTGCTCACGGCGTTCGCGCAATTGAGAAAAGCTGAGTGCTCGTCCTTCAGCATCCAGCCATCCAATTTCCCATCCAGCCTATCCCAGCCGTCTTTGGGCAGCAGGAGTAGGCGGGGGACACCCTGAAGCGGTTGCCAGCCAATCGCAGGGCACACACATAATCGAAGAGCCATTTGCGCTCGCAATCACAATCGGGGGACAATTTCATGTCATTTCAAGTGTTCAATCAGCCTGCCGTGCATTTTTTTGGAAATGTGGGAGGAAAGCGGAGTACCCAGAGAAAACCCACGCGCGCCCGGGGAGAACATGCAAACTCCAGGCAGGAAGGCCTCAGCCGGCCGGGATGGAACCGCCGGGCCGCCGTCCTTCAGCATTCACTCAACAAACAGCTGCAAAGCACGAAAAGACGAATGCTCATCTCGCAGCGTTCACTCCATCGGAATTTTGCATGGGCAAAAAAGTGTTCTGAATGCTCGTCCTTCAGCATTCGCTCAATAAAGAGGCACAAAAAGTGTGCATACAAAAAGAAACGATCATCTCTCGGCATTTCACTCAAGAAATACTTTGGACGTGCGACAAAAGGCTGAGGAAGACCCGAGCCAATAGTTGCGGACGACGAAGCAGACGACAGCGTGCGCCAAGGCGCTCCGAACGGGGCCTTGGCCTGTGACGTCACGTGACCTCGACCCGTCAAGCCCGTCTCGCAAACGCTCGCTCGCTCGCTTGAAATGAAATCAAAGGATCAAGAGGCAGAATTTACCTACGGAGTCAATTTCTAGGAGCCGCTGGAGGTCGCTGATGCTGCGGATTTCACTGTGCGACAGTCTGTCGATCAGCTCCTGGGGAAAGTGCACTTCCTTCAGCGCCGAACGGGGTGGGGGGGGGGGGGAGAGAAATTCAACAAGGGGACAGTGAGTTAGAGATTCGTGGGGGGAGGGGCTGCAATTAAAATCACTCTGCTGATCCGTTCGGGAAGAATTCTTCCATGCTCGAGCTTTTCTTTCTTTTTCAATTCGTGCAATAATGCATCAAAAAAGTGCGTGGTGCTACGGTAAAGTGCAATGTGCGCAATTTTTTTTTTTTGTGGGGGGGGGGGGGTTGCACTTGTCGCGCAGGCGACAAGTTGTGGTGGTCTCACACTCACTATTTATATCACCAAGAGCAGTTCTCATGAAGTTTGCCCACTTGGCTCAGCCTACAAACAAATTCGGCGACAAAAGCCCAAAATAACCAGAGCGGGTTGGACAACTCTGCTTTCTTTCGAGGTGGGCGGGGGGGGAAGGGGGCTCGAATCAAATAGACAAGCAAGCGCGCATTTACTGTTTTTTGTGGTGGTTGTTTTTTTTTTCCTTACCTGAGCGGTGGCCAACAGCAGGTACGTCGTCCACAGCAGGAAGTAAGAAATTGCGGCTCTCATCTCCCTTTTGAATTGGACTGAACCCCAAACGAGACGAAGCGGTGGTGGAGGAGCCGCGCAGTCGCTCCTGGCCCCCGAGGACCCTCGACCATCCCCTCAGGGCGGGGGAGAGAAAGCGAGAGCTTTTTGCTTTTGCTCCACTCGAGATTTGCGCGGAAGAAAGTGTTTAGCGTGTGTTTGGAATGTGTGTGTGCGTGTGTGTGTGTGTGTGTGCGCGCGCGCTAGTGTGCGTGCGCGCGCGCGTCGCAGTTCTTTTCACTCCTGCGCAGCAACAAACTGCGCGGCGCGGCTCGGCATAGCTCCTGAAAAAGTGGGACAATCCCAAGTCGAGGCAGAAGCGCGGCGCACTTGTCCTTCGCAGCCTCGCACGCGCGCACCCGCCGGCCCGCCCCAAGAATCCGTCCTTTTCCCTTTTCCTTGAAGTTCTCTCGAAGCAAAAGCCAAGGTAATCCAGTGGGGAAATCCTCTCGGAAATGCCAAACGCGAGCCCGAAGAAGTGCGGCGGCGCGGGGGCGAAGTTGCGCTCCGTTGGCGTCGAGGCATCCGCGGCGCGCGCGCACACTGGAGTGCAACCCGAGTGAGAGCGAGCGTGCGAGCGGCCGCTTATTATAGAGAGAGGCGGCGGGCAAGCGCTTGCGCCTCCCCTCGCGTCTCCCTGATGCTGCGTCGCCCTCCGCAGGGGGAGCTGCTTGCCGACTCAAAGAGCATGCCGCAGCGAACGCGCGCGCGCGCGCGCACGCGCGCCCTCCTCAAACTTTTGACAAAAAAAAAAAAATGCTCTCCAAGCGACTGCCATCAGGATCGACGTGAAGCATCGGATGCTTCCGCGTACGTCTAAAAGGAGACCGATTTGTTTTTCCGAAAAGCATCTCTTGAAATCAAAGATGGCCAAGATGCTGGGGGGGCACATAGCTCCTAACCAAGTGGATGATAAAAATACTGTACGTGTTCTTTTTTTAATCCTGCATTTTCTTTCCAACGTCTAATAGATCCAACGTCCTCAGCCAACAACAAAGAGTTTGACGCAAACATGTCGAACATTTCGCCGCTGACTTCGACATCCGCTGCCTTCCGCCAATGTCGTCGTGGTGATGTCACGGCTCGGACGCGGTGAGTCACCTTGCTCGGAGGCCGACCCTTCACATTCTGGTGGGAAATGGAAAGAGGGGGGGGCGGGAAAAAAACGATAAGCGGCAGGATGCGATGCCTTGCGAGGGAGGATTCCCTCTTGGGGAAACGTGACGCCCATGGCTAAGGGAAATCGTCGCGTCGTAAGAATAACGTGCCGCTTATCTGAGACGGATCGATTCCAACATTTCACTGCAAATGCTTGCCATGACCCAAATAGTGGATTTCAAGGCTGGTCCCGATGTCTTCGGAACGCACGACTTTTTAGTAACGTTTGACGACGTTTGGACATCCGGAACAATTGCCTTGAGCCCGCGCATCTGATCGCAACCGCTGACTTGCAGGTACGCCCACGAGAACCAAAGAAAATGAAATTCCCGATCAAAAACGAGCCGGTGATTTGTCCCTTCGGGCCACGCGTTCACACCGCGTCACGTCATTTCTCGGACATTTGCGCTCATTTTCCACTCCATCTGGAGGGGAATGCCATTTGTCTTTGCCCAAGGCAAAGTTTTGTGAAGCAAAAGCAGGCTCTGCTTCCATCGTCGCCTGTTTCACTTCTTCGCAAGCTCGCAGGCAACACGTTTACTGGCAACCATGTGCCCAGCAAACATGTTTAACCCTATAAAAGGACTTTTATAGTCGGCGGCGCACAGTAAACCGAGCCGTAAAGAGCCGGCGGAGAGCGCGAGTGAAGGGGCGATGACTCCCGTTTCCCTGCAGGCCACACATTGAGTTCCTCGCAGGGGGCAAGTGGGGCCTAGGGTAGCGTGGGTGGTGGGAGCTATGATTTCGCAGTCCCTTGACATTATGTGAGCATGTTTGTTTGTTTTGTTTTTATGGGGGGG